CCCGTACCCCGTTCTCCCGCCTCCCGTACCTTTTTGTTCCTTTGTCTCCCGACTCCCGCCCTTTATTGTATTTTTCCCGTCATCATGTAAATTATAAAGATCAGAAGCCCGGGTTTAGTGTTAAAGCTGTAGGGTAATTTGCCAAAGATGAAAATTGTTACAAGTCAGTTTTCTTAGTTAAACTGAGTTTTCACTAACCTGGTTATCTAGGTTTGACCACCGCTTCTGACATCCCACTACAGCGACAATAGTCTCAGTCCACTGTGCAGTGTAATAGCTATTGCAGTCATCAAAGATGCATTAACATGCATTTAGGAATCCCGAAATTACGGGGATCATGCCAAAATGAAGTCGAAGGGCCAAACGTTACGGTAGAGTTCAGTACTCCTGTCTAGTTCCCAGCGTCTAATTGTACTAATTGCATATCCACGGCGGTTAGTTTTCGTTATTTTTCGTAAGAAGTCGTAAGCTATAAAAACTGACTTCAACGAGACAATAATTGCATGTTCGTTAACCGTTTGCATTTTAAAGCGTTCAGTTTAGTGCTGGTGGAGTATTATTGTTAGCTGGTTATCAAATCTCAAACCTATTCATATTTGCTCGAGAAGTTGTATCTTTCATCAAACATCGGGGGGGAGGTTTAACGGTTATACATACATTTTTACATCGGAATGATGCATCTATGTCCGATTTTAACAAGAAGCATTTGAAGAAACGAATGCTCTGCTCTTATTGGCTTATTACAAGTTAAATAACAGGACAGGGAACAGGTTGCAATATGTGTAAAAAGTGCCCGTATTTTGCTACAGTAAACAAACTAGAAAAAGTCTTCCATGCGCCGAGGAGGTCGCACTGATCTGCTCCTACTCCAAATGTTAGTTAGAGCAGTAAAGTCTGCCTCCTCTTCCTCCGAGTCGAGGGAACTTTTCTAAAATTACAGTGCAAACTGCTAGGAAATGACACCTACCGTGCAGTTCGTAATCTTTTGTTATTACTTTTTCTTTGTTATCTATGAAGTCCAACCGGACAGCGTCCCACGCTGTTTGACTTCCTATTCTAATAGGCAGTGCTTTGGCCTTATCCAAAACAAAAAATTGCGTTGTATATCTAACCACTCCGCACTCTCCAGCGCGATCAGTGAATTTGCATTCCCTGGACACAAGTTTGCACCACGCCGTAAAATCTTTAGTGTTTTGCAAACTACAATCGTACGGAGCGAGCTCCCAGGAAGGTCTTCCATGTACGGATTTTTCCACACCACACCGAAAAATACTTAGACCGATTAAAATGGTCTTTGACCACATTTTACCTGCGAGACAGGTCAAACAGACGAGACACTGACACGACTTACACAGTCGACACACGTGTACATGTGTCACGCCACCTCATTCATGAGGACTCGTGACCTATGATGTAACCGACTTGGAAAGGTTTCCAATTTCACCAGAAGTAATGCTCTTTTTTCAATTCCGAGTGCGAATTTACGTTTTTTGACTTTTGTCGCATTAAAATTTTGATTTAGGGCCTCGGAGAACGTTAAATGGAAGTCAAGAAACGTTGTTGAGTTCTTTTCTTTGACTGGATGATGAGCAGTAACAATTAACGAAAGCTTGCCTTTTGGAATTTCTCTCCCGCTTCCCGCCATCATAGAGATCCCGCTTCCCGCCCTTTCTTCTCCCGTCTCCCGTACCCCTCCCGCCCCCTGTTCTCCCGGGCTCCCGCCCCCCTGTCCCCCTCCACCGATAAGTTTCATGATGTTAAGGTTCACTCAATGTAGATAACTTTGATAAGTCGCTTATTTTCTCGATAAGTTCCGCGATGGAAGGTTCACTCTTAGGCGATGGCTCGTAAATTTGTCTCTCCAAATATTCACTCTCAAGTTTTCTCTCATAATAAACTAGTACATCGTAAAGGTTGGGGAACGCGTCGTTCCCAAAAAGCTATAATCTTTCTCTTGACTCTCCTCCATACCTCGTGCTTTTCAAAATGGCGGATAAGTTTTCAATGAACCAGCGATATATCTCAGCGAACACTCCCAAAAGTAACGAGCCAGCGATATATCTCAGTCAGCGATATATCTCTAACAATGTAACTTTGAAAAGACAGAAACGCGTTGCATTTTATGACCGGTGCCCTTGGTATTGCAAATGTAGACCGCTCATCGCAAATCTTCACATTCTTTGAAAGGCTTCCATTCCAAAAAGACACCCTGTTCAAGACGCTTAATTGTGAAATTTTTATACCCTGTTATAGCCTGAGATCATGCCCTCTCCCTATTATCCCTTTAAGTCTCTCAAGGGAAGAGGGCATGATACATTTCTTTGTCGGATCACATGTAAAAAAGCCAGAATCTGGACTTTTTTCTGATTGGATAGGAAACAATACGGATGATTTGCGCTTTTCCAATTGGCCAAAATGCCGCCATCCGTTAGTTGTTGTTGATTTCAGTCTGCATTTTTGCTTGCGTCATGAGCAGTGAATACACACGCGAGTTCGTTATAAAATTTCTGCCCGCTCAGTTTTCTTGAATTTGAAGAATGCCTAAATAGAAATTTCACCCATTGAAATATTTTCCATCTCATCGTATACTAAAAACTTGCAGTCAAAAATTCACCGATCATTTGGATGCAATTTGATACCGGCTACAAGTTACAGAGGCGACAAATGGGTTCACTTTTCAAATAATCAATTCATGAATGGAATCTTGATCTGGTTTGACTGTAATTCCTCCTTCAGAAACCTGCGAATTATTCTGAGCAATCTTCGCTTTTACAACACCTTTCAGTTCGTAAAATATGGTGCTTCAGCCTAATATTTTTTTGCACTGCTTTCGGCAGAGAACAAAGTCAACGACCTTTAACCAGTTATTTCTTTATTATTTGAAGCTCTTAAATAAAGGTACGGCAGCTCCAGCTAGCAGTATTTGAACACATTTAAAATTCTTTTTAGGAAGCGCCATCTGAACATGGACGTACTTACAAATTTTCTTTTCCCTAAAATTGATTTTAAAAGAGACATTATTCGCGCCAAAATTTGATTCCCGTATGGTAAAGTAAAAAAACGCTTATTGGCTAATAACATGACAGGTCAAGCAGACGTTAGATTATGTAAATTAGGGGGCGGTTAACGGCTAGTTAAATGAATGTATCAGGCGTTATTTTTTTCCTCTCTCGAGCCAAAGAAACAAAGAAGCCAAAAAAAAACGCCTGATCTCAGGTTAACCCTGTTAAAGACTCAAGACCTTGAAAACCATACCCTGTCTCAGTGGCACACACCCGTATAGGCCAAATAAAGGAGTGCCGCCCCCCGCCACCCCCCTCGGGACTTTTTGCCAGCCTCTAAATCCTATAGGGTCAAAGCGAAACGGATCAATAGGGCCATTTATACGAGGAAAAATAAGACGTGTCTTACATAAGACGCGTATTAAATAAGACGCGAACCGTACCATTTATACGAGCATGTCTTATCTAAGACGAGAACAGCTCGTGTAAATGGTTCGCGTCTTATTTCTGTTCTTGACTCGTTTTGATGTGAATGTTGTCCGTAGCAACGGCAATCCTGCGTGGCGCGCCAAAAAATAACGCATGCGTACTATGCGTTCGCGTCTTATATAATACGTGAAGGTCATTTATACGAAGTTTTTCTCGTCTTAGCTGAGACGCGTCTTATCTAAGAACAGGTGTTAAGGGCTGTTTTAAAATAAGACGCGTCTTAGCTAAGCCGCGTCTTCTTTTAGACGAAATGTGCCGTTTATACGAAAAGTTCGCGTCTTATTTAAGACGCGTCCTATGTATGACGCGTCTTATTTTTCCTCGTATAAATGGCCCTAATGTTTCAGACGCGGTGCGCAGATTGAAGATATGCTTAGATGAAAGTCAATTACGTTTAAGTCCGCTAGCACTTTGCAAGTCCCTACTCCGACCTGGAAAGCACCCCAATGGGCTTATTTCAAATTTACATCATTTTAAAAATCCTTTCCGTCTTCGCTCAAATAAGATTTTAGTGACCAGCGGCTAGAGAAAACCCAATGAACATATCATGGAAATGGCTGAAAATGAGATTGCAACTCGTCTAAGATTTAGTAAAGAGTTCTGCATTTTGTTTTTAGCGCATGATGCGAAACGATTTCAACCTTTCTTTCTTGCTTTCATTTATTTCCTTTGCCCTTCTTTCCATCCTCCACAGACGAACAGAAAGCCTGCTTAAAGAAGTGCGTAAACGAAGACTTAACTCTGTTCTTCAAATTAAATCAACTCCTAAACCGTGTTTGCTCTCAAGCTTATATTTTGTATTTGTATCCTGATTTTGTATTTATTTTGCCACACAGATAAATTACATGATTACAAAAACAAAAAAAATACAAAGTGTAGAAAGTAATGGCGAGGAGGCCTAAAGGAAACTACAAAGCTCGTCATGTTAACTAGGCCTCACTATCACAATTTTTCGAAGATGAACTAAAAATTACAGCGACGGATACAATTACTATCAAAGCAAATTAATAAAAGTAACAATGTATTAGGGAAGTTTACAGATGATGAATATTAAACAGTTTTTAACACGAATTCCGACATGATTTTAATCATGTTGCTGCAATTCACATCAGCGCCTAAACCATAGTCGACCGTCCCTATCTATCATATGTCTCTTAAAAAGATCTTTAAATTTATTCTTAAAATGCAAAAACGAGGGCAAGTTTAAAAGTAAAGCATTTTACGTCAGCTTTTTTCGCCTTTTCGAGCAACACATTTTTTTTCTTGTTGGCGTATATTGAAAAGTTTCTCAAAATACTCAACCAAGGAACACCTGCTATACGTACTTAGTAAATGAGGCTTTGCTGATTGACATCGATCGATTTAACGACAATTTAGAACAACAGAAGTTATTTTGCTGAAATCATATTAAGAGATCCTGTATTTCTTTTCCCTACAACGTTCATCAAGTTGTTTCTTGTTTCTTGATTTATTTTTCCAAAGGTTGCAAGCCTCAGCGTTTTGTCACACATGGCCCTTTCAAAGAAGTACACCGAAGAACAGCTCAACTACTTCAGAATTTGTTATGTAACCACTGATATACTAGCCGAAGGCCTCAGAGAGCTTTTTAAACGTGAATGGGACAATCAATATAAATCAACACCATTGGGTGAATGGAAAGATGTGGCCCAGAATGGAACGGACTTTTACAACGGCGAGTCTCCAAGAAATCAAAGAAGAAATGCTCATATTTTGGCCACCATGATAAATGGAAACAGAGCGGAATGGGATTGCACAATGCTGTTTTACGCCATCCTTTACTCTGATTGTGTCGGGCCCTACCTTGCATCAACAGTCAGAAACAATGTCGATGATCTTAGAAAATTTAGAAACGAGGAATTCGCCCACATACCACAGGGAAGTCTCCCTGAGATGGATTTTCAGAATGCCATTGGCAAAGTTCATGTTGCGTTTAATGCTCTTGGTCTCTCTACTGTAAAAATCAATGACATAAAAAATCAGAAAACTTTCCCAACCGATGAATTACATAAAATTATGAAAGAGGTTGGCGATGTTAAACAAGAACTTCAAGAAAAAGAGAAACAGCGCCAGGTTCTTGAAGATCAGCTTCAGAAAGAAGCACCGTCATTCTGTATTCTCCCTCCTAGACCTACACACGAAATTGAAAGCCGTGAAAGTGAAGTAGCACAAATAGACCTTCAGCTAAGGGAACTAAAGAAGGCCAATGAGAAAAGGTTGAGTTATCTGTACATCTCAGGGAATCCAGGAAGTGGCAAATCACAACTAGCTGGCCTCGTCGCTGAAAGATTCTTTAATGAAGTAAACGAAATACCAGGCACTTCGTCCTTTGTGATGACCATAAACGCTGCCAGTCAAGATTCGCTTTTGGAGTCATATGCCAATTTTTCTCTTCAGTTAAAGTGCCCAGACTTTTCAGTGATGCAAACCTTGAGCTCTAAGGATTGGAACATTGAGGACAAGATTTCCAATCTCAAGATGCTTATTGCTGCAAAAATTGGGTGTTACACGTCGTGGCTAATGGTGGTGGACAACGTGACTAAACTGACTTTTGTACATGATCACCTACCACAGTCTGGAACCAAGACGTGGGCAAGAGGTCAGTTGTTAATTACAACCCAGGATACAAAGTCCATCCCGTTAAAAAGTTCTTTCATCAATCACATTTCAGTAAGCCAAGGAATGAATCCTTACGATGCCACTTCCTTATTGGCCAAGCTTTCTGGGGTCTTCGACAACGAGCTAGCGGAAAACGTTGCCCAGAAATTGGACTATCAGCCACTCGCTTTAGCAGGCGCGGCTGTGTTTGTCAAAGACATTCGACAGGACAAAGGATCGAAGCACTTTGGCTGGGACAAATACCTAAAGATTTTACAGAAAGGAAAACGAGAAGCGACCGAGGATACCCTTCCTAATACCAACCCAATTTATCCAAATACGATGACTACAGCAATAACGTTAGCTGTCGAAGCACAAGTTAAATCCGACAAGTTTTTTGAACACCTATTCAGATTTCTTTCTCTGTGCGCACCACAACCATTAAACGTTGACATAGCGGTTAGTTACCTTTTTAACGTTCTCGAACACGATGACAGAGAGGACAAGGAACACATTCGCGGGAGATTCAGAAGATGTTCACTGCTTCTTTTAGAGGAAAACGAAGATAGTTGCTACTACATTCGTGTACATCAGGTTGTGCACAAAGCAATGAAATCGGTGAAGAGTGACTGTGCAGAGAATCAAACGATCAAGGTTGTAAGTGAAGCTGTTACATCATTTAACAAATTTATAGTCACAATTCCACACGAAAATAGAACAATGGACACTATGAACATCATTCCGCACGTAAGTGCCCTCATTGTACCAATTAATACAGTTATTATGACAGAAAATATGTCTCAAGTCCATGTTCAGGACATTTCTCTAAAATTGTCGAATCTTGGCAACATATGTAAAATGCACTGTGAATTTAACGTGGCAAAGACATACTTGGAAAACTCTCTCGCTGTTCGCATCAGGCTGTTGGGAGACCAAAATGTCGATGTTGCATCCGGGTACAATGACTTAGCTTTAATTCACCTAGACTTAGGTGACCTTGAACAAGCAAAGGAGTATCAGCAACGTGGTTTAGCCATCCAGCTCAAGAAGCTTGGTGCTGAACATGTTTCTGTTGCAACAAGCTACGGTAACCTAGCTTTAATTCACCAGGACTTAGGTGACCTTGAACAAGCAAAGGAGTATCAGCAACGTGGTTTAGCCATCAAACTCAAGAAGCTTGGTGCTGAACATGTTTCTGTTGCAACAAGCTACGTTAACCTGGCTTCAATTCACCAGGACTTAGGTGACCTTGAACAAGCAAAGGAGTATCAGCAACGTGGTTTAGCCATCCAACTCAAGAAGCTTGGTGCTGAACATGTTTCTGTTGCAACAAGCTACGGTAACCTAGCTTTAATTCACCAGGACTTAGGTGACCTTGAACAAGCAAAGGAGTATCAGCAACGTGGTTTAGCCATCGAACTCAAGAAGCTTGGTGCTGAACATGTTTCTGTTGCAACAAGCTACGTTAACCTGGCTTCAATTCACAAGGACTTAGCACTGGACGAAAAAACGGATTTACTAATGTTTGCGCAAGGTGCAAATATGTGGTAAATTTGGAGCTCCAAATTTACATTAAATTTGCGCTGTGGGCTAAAGTGTGGGCAAATACATATATTTGCTAGATACGTATTGATACGCAAAAGTGAAGTAAATGTAATGGTTTGATACAAATTTGATACATATTTGCAGCATGGGCAAATCTTCAACATTTCTACCAGTTTACTCAAATTTACATCCTTGGCAAAAATGACAGTTTTCACTTTACTTCAAATGCAGGCAAATATATTGCAAAACCACTTATTTGCAGTGGTATTTGCTCTTGTTTTTCCAGGATACCAAAAGAACACTTTTGCATGTGGTTTACTCGTATTTGCCTTAAGAGCAAAAACAATAAATTTCTAGACATTTGGCTGTATCATAAATTTGCACATTTGCACCATAATTATCCATATTTGCAAGGGGAGCAAATATAGTGAGCTGCATAACATTTGCTGACAGTCAAAGGTGATGTGCATGTGACATTTCCTATATGTTTGATCCGTTTTGTGACTAAAGTAAATTTCAATCTCAACTGTAACATTACATTGTTACAATAAAATTTTGTACACGCTGTGAGACTCCCCAGGGGTCCAACCCCTTACATGCATCTTTCCTGTTAACTGTTTTATGTGCACTGTCATTTTAATATAAAGGAATCAGAAACCAGTTAATTTTTTTTTTGACAATTTTACATTCACAAATTTCTTCTGTTAGTCTTTTTACAGAACGAAATGACAGATAGTCTACCCTGTCATATACTTTAACTCAGGAAATCCCTATCCTTTCATACCTGAAGCATGAAAAAAGGTGTCCCTTTCTGACAGCGCCCCTGGCATAAACCTTTCCCGGGCTACTAATTTAAAGCAAATACACTAATTCAAATCCACTCGTTATTAAGGTCCAGTAGTCAGATCATTGATGCACTGTATTTCCTACAGTCAGGGCCATAGCCAGTATGAGGCAAACCGAGGCACTTGCCTCTGTCATTTAAGGTTTGATACTGGCAGTGTTTTGTTTCAACGTAGTCATCATAAAGACCCTGAATAGCTAATACAATTATACTGCAGGGTTCTTTCTATATTTCCGACAATATTTATACTGATTCTAGAATATTAGGGGCATATATCATACGGGACTTATTTGTTGTAGTTTTGACTGACCACCTAGAGATGACTACATCTCGATGGTGGGCTTCCTAAAAATGACCACAATTTGAAAACTCAACAGCCAATACTACAACAAAATATGGTGAAACTGCTCACAATTTTATTTGAACATTAACTCAGCTGACAAATTTATGAAAGGCTAATTTTTCTTACTCTATTGTTTGCAACCCTGAGTTTAAGTTTCACTGATTTTAATGCTGATTTGAGTTTTACTGTTCATTAAGTACTACCTATTCAATCCAAAAAAGTCATAGCATTTCGGCTGGCTAAAATTCACCTGAAGCCTGGTTATTTGAACTTGGGATACAAGGAGGATCTACAGGAGCTACCAGTCAAATTGTCAAATCCTACCCGACAAAGCCCCCCCCCCCACCCCCATAAACAATGAACAGACCTTTATTGGGTTACAGGATCACAGGAGCTCTGAGTTGGCCTTAGGTCATGAAAAGTATAGAGCTACAAAGAAAAAACTAAGGTAGTGAAACAAATTAACATGCAGCCTTTAAACTTCTGGACTGGGTTGCTCAAAGATGGGTTAAGATAACACAAGGTTGGGTCCAGTGGTCAGATCATTTACTGCATTTTTTGTACATCATACTAAAAAATCAAATTTGGTCCAAAATAAAAAGTTTTGTGGATTTCAAACTCAGTGTTGTGATTATTCACTTGTACATAATTTCCTCATGGCCATTTAACCAACAAACTTAATTCAATTTAAAACCAACAATTTTAGTTTAACCGGTATTTGTTGTAGTTTTGACTGCCCACCTAGAGATGACCACATCTCGATGGCCGGCTTCCTAAAAATGACCACATTTTGAAAACCCAACCGCCAATACTACAACAAAATATGGTGAAACTGCTCACAATTTTATTTTAACATTAACTCAGCTGACAAATTTATGAAAGGCTAATTTTTCTCACTTTGTTGTTTGCAACCCTGAGTTTGAGTTCCACTGATTTTAATGTTGATTTTGAGTTTTACTGTTCATTAAGCACTACCTATTCAATCCAAAAAGTCATAGCATTTTTGCTGGCTAGAATTCACCTGAAGCCTGGTTATTTGCTTGGGATACAAGGAGGATCTACAGGAGCTACAGGTCGAAAGGTCAAATCCTACCTGACAGTCCCCCCCCTGCACAATAAACAATGCACAGATCTTTATTGGATTACAGGAGCTCTGATTTGGCATTGGATCATGAAAAGTCTAGAGATATAAAGAAAAAACTAAGGTAGTGAAACAAATTAACATGCAGCATTTATCCTTCTGGACTGGGTTTCCTCACAGATGGGTTAAGATAACACAAGGTTAGGTCCAGTAGTCAGATCATTTACTGTATTTTTTGTACATCATCCTAAAATTCAAATTTGGTCCAAAATAAAAAGTTTTGTGGATTTCAAACTCAGTGTTGTGATTATTCACTTGTACATAATTTCCTCATGGCCATTTAACCAACAAACTTAATTCAATTTAAAACCAACAATTTTAGTTTAACCAGTATTTGTTGTAGTTTTGACTGCCCACCTAGAGATGACCACATCTCGATGGCCGGCTTCCTAAAAATGACCACATTTTGAAAACCCAACAGCCAATACTACAACAAAATATGGTGAAACTGCTCACAATTTTATTTGAACATTAACTCAGCTGACAAATTTATGAAAGGCTAATTTTTCTCACTTTGTTGTTTGCAACCCTGAGTTTGAGTTCCACTGATTTTAATGTTGATTTTGAGTTTTACTGTTCATTAAGCACTACCTATTCAATCCAAAAAGTCATAGCATTTTTGCTGGCTAGAATTCACCTGAAGCCTGGTTATTTGCTTGGGATACAAGGAGGATCTACAGGAGCTACCGGTCGAAAGGTCAAATCCTACCTGACAGTCCCCCTGCACAATAAACAATGCACAGATCTTTATTGGATTACAGGAGCTCTGATTTGGCATTGGATCATGAAAAGTCTAGAGCTATAAAGAAAAAACTAAGGTAGTGAAACAAATCAACATGCAGCCTTTACACTTCTGGACTGGGTTGCTCAAAGATGGGTTAAGATAACACAAGGTTGGGTCCAGTGGTCAGATCATTTACTGCATTTTTTGTACATCATACTAAAAAATCAAATTTGGTCCAAAATAAAAAGTTTTGTGGATTTCAAACTCAGTGTTGTGATTATTCACTTGTACATAATTTCCTCATGGCCATTTAACCAACAAACTTAATTCAATTTAAAACCAACAATTTTAGTTTAACCGGTATTTGTTGTAGTTTTGACTGCCCACCTAGAGATGACCACATCTCGATGGCCGGCTTCCTAAAAATGACCACATTTTGAAAACCCAACAGCCAATACTACAACAAAATATGGTGAAACTGCTCACAATTTTATTTGAACATTAACTCAGCTGACAAATTTATGAAAGGCTAATTTTTCTCACTTTGTTGTTTGCAACCCTGAGTTTGAGTCTCACTGTTCATTAAGTACTAGCTATTCAATCCAAAAAAAGCCATAGCATTTTTGCTGGCTAAAATTCACCTGAATCCTGGTTATTTGATCTTGGGATACAAGGAGCGGGGTTGTGGCTTCCCCAAAAAATTCTGATGAAGAGAGGGTCTTCATATACAGGAGCTACCAGTCAAATCCCCCCCAACAAAGCCCCCCCCCCCCTCCCTTAAAAAATCAACAGACCCCTACTGGGTTACAGGAGCTCTGAGTTGGCCTTGGATCATGAAAAGTTGTAAGCTATAAAGAAAAAACTAAGGCGATGAAACAAATTAACATGCAGCATTTATTATCCGTCCAGGCTGGGTTGTTTAAAGCTGGGTTAAGATAACCCAAGGTTAGTACGAAATATGAATTCAGATATGACAGTTTTAAAAACAAATTCATTTGAATTCCTTTTGTCCACAATTTGGTGATTTGATACTTAAAAAAAAGGGAAAATTATCTGACAAAATGCTTTTGATTAAAAGGAAAAAGAAACGCAGGTTAAAATCTAGCACTGGGTTAGTGCTAATCGGTCTTTGGAACAACTGGGCCCCGGTCTTTTTTTGGGTCCAATTCTAAATCACATAACCACTTCGAAGTGAGTCAATATTGGTACATAACCTGGGCATGTGTTACATTCCCCTTCTGTCATTTGATAATAGTAAAGCCTAGGGTCGCACAATGGGCAGGGATCTCCAATTACTAAAACTAAAAATTCAAAATGACACAGTAACTGTTGCACACAGTTACAGAGGGCCCACACTACCTACCCTTTACATTAAGTAAATACACTACAACAAATCTACTGGACAAAGGTCCAGTAGTCAGATCATTTACTGTATTTTTTCTACATCATAATATTATTATTAAAAAGCTAACAATAACAAGGCCACCCACAGTACCTTAAATTTGGTAAAAAAAAAAAAGGTTCTGTGCATTTCAAAGTCAGGGTTGAGATTATTCACTTGTACACAATTTCCTCATGGCCATTTATTCAAGAAAATTCACATCAAAACTGACAATTTTGTTCTTACCGCTATTTGTTCTAGTTTTCACTGACTATACCTAGAGATGACCACATCTTGATGGTAAGCCTCCTAAAAATGGCCACATTTTGAAAGCCGAACAGCCAATACTACAACAAATGGTGAAATTGCTTTGTATTTCATATCATTTGTGAATAGAAACTCAGCACAGACATGAATGAATAATTTCTTTGCTGCTCTTTACAACCCTGATTTTGAGTTCAATATGATTTGTCTTTTTAAAACATATTATCTGAGGCATATTTCTTAAGCTATATGTCAGTGCTAGTGAGCAGTCATGGACTGCTGTTTTGAAGGGGCTTCCGATAGCAAGATAGCCTTTCCAAAATCAGTGAGCATTGGGTGGTACATATTGTTTACCTCTGTAAGAATAATGTTGTCACTCTTTATATCTCTGTGGGGAAACCTGTATGAGTGCAAAATATGTTCTATAGCTTCACACAATTTCAGTACATTATGTTCCTGCAGAACACTGTGAAAGGGACATGGATTTCCTTAGCAGGGCACCGCACAAAGAAAAAGAAAAATAATATTGTAAAGATGGTAAAAATATAACCCAAGGAAGTACATGTGAGGTTTCTGTTTTGTGACATTTACCCCAAACAGATGGGGTATTGATGGATGCCAGCATTCAGTATATAAGCTTCAATTCTGTCATCTTGTGAAGTGGAAAAAATGATTACTGTAAATAAATTGAGACCCACTGGAATACCCCTGTAGCATTTCTTCATGCACAGACCACAAACAGCTTCCCCATATTGAACCTGTATTTCATTGACCTCTTTATCTTTTGGAGAGTTCAGGTGATGCAACTCAATTTCAAGAACATTGGAAATAACTCCAGTACCACTCAAGGAAAAATCTGAAACAAATACACAAAAAAGTCACTAAACCCACTAAAAATAACTGTTAATTCTACCTTTATTGATAATATTGTGAAATTAAATGAATTGTGTTACTTGTGTTGCCATTATCTTTATGAACATTATAAATACACATGTGGCACATTTTAGCATTTTTGACCTTTTGACTCAGCTTACATGTACAGCTGTATCATTATAAACTATTATAAACAAAACAACCTTGTATATGAAAACATGACAAAACAAAAAAAAACATGTAACGTACAGGGTGCAAAGAAAGTCATTTTTACAGCTTGCCATTCGGGCAAGCTGAAGCTAACATTTACTAGCCCAAACGTCATTTCAACTACCCACAAAATTTTTGATTTAACAGTTCTTCTGTAAGGTGAATTCCTCAAACTGCATTGTACTTGCCCGTCGGGCAAGTGAAGAACAGAATTTACTAGCCCGATAGCAAAATCCGCTAGCCCCGGGCTATCGGACACTACTTTCTTTGCACGCTGAACGTATATAAAATAAAGGCTCCACCCTACCCCTGTCAAAATCAATGGTACAAGTACAGGTATTACGCTCAATATGTCAATATAGCGCCAGAGGTAGTATAAATTACTCAAGCAATTAATCTTGAGCTACTTCTGCCAAATACCAATAAATTAGCATTTTAACATTGCATAACTACATATTTAACTGACTTAACACCACTTAAATTTTTCAACAAGGCTTTTTTCAGCTGGATCACTACCACATACACGCACGCGACACGCATGCTCATACATGCTACAAATGTAAATATGGATGCAAATGTAGTTTATTCCCGGTTATAACATAGATGTGGCAGTAGAAGCACGATATACAAAGCAAAATACATCGACTTTACCTATTAAATTTCGAACATCCTTGAGAAGAAATCCAGCAACATAGGCAATCTCTTCCTCCCGCCAAATCGCCAAAAGACCGCGCGCCCGATTTCCCAAGCATTTGCGCCTGAGTGGTGCTGGTCAGCGACAGTCTGCATAACCGTTCGAGAACGAGGCACAACAATTGAAATTCGTCGACCGTTAACGCGTTCCACTGCCATCGATTTGCCATCAGCTTTTACTTCGTACGTTTAACGCCATATTTATCAAGAGGTTTCGAATTTTCCTTCTTTGTGGGGTTGACTGTCGAGTATGGAGGAATCGGCCAGTCTTATTTGTTCGAATTTATCGAACGAATGTGTCCTCGAAGAACTGATAAAAATAATCGCTCGAACTCGAGGGAACTGCTTACTTATAGATCCTTCGACGAAAATCCACCATGAAAGACATCTAGATAGCTCCATCGGCGACGATCAAGTAGTAACGAGTGGATCCAAGAAAAGCAGCCGTTAGTACTTAGTAAATAGACTTCGGTGAATCGATGCTGTTTTAATTAGCAGACATTGTAAAACTAAGAAGAGGCAGGAGAAATGTTGAGGACAAACAAATGCTGAGGGAGCAACTAATCGGGAGTAAAAGAAATGCTCAGTAAGTATAAGAAAGTTCGTTGTTACTGTTAAGCCGCTAATGATGCTATTTGATAATACCTACATTTGCATTCCAATATTCAGTAATCAACAAGGACCACCCCTACTCCTGAAACTTTATTTGTCCTGTTGTTGTAAAAAATACTGTAATCTTTTGTTTGGTTGTTCTCTTCAGATAAATGGTCTTGGAAAGTTTAATAAGAATTGAAGCAAGCGTTAATTCCCCTCTATTAGGCCAAAATTAACCTTATCCTCAAGTGCCTACTTTCTCCAAAGGCTTTTCCAAAATTTAAAAGGGGAGTAAAGGCAGTGACTGCCATGGTGCTGAAAACATAGTGTAGCTAGAATTTAGATCATGGTACCCTGCTTTCACTGATTGTTTTTTATGATCATCCCATGTAAGGGATTCTGGAATCCGGGAAATTTTTGCTTATGGAATCCAGAATTCGGGCAATTTTTGTTACGGAATCCTAAATTCTGAGCTTTGAAACCTGAAATACAAGTCAAACGATTGGAATCCAGAAACCAAGTAATCCACTGAAAAAGGTTCCGGAATCCGCAGCGTGGAATCCAGAATCTAAAACTGTCTTGGATTCTCTCATATGAGGCAATTATAGTATACCGTATTTATTCGAATAAGCGCCCAACCTCGAATTAGCGCCCACCTCGAATAAGCGCCCATCCCAAAGGCAGAAAAAGTTAATAAGCACCCAGCCTCGAATAAACGCCCACCCCACCCCACTCCCTCCCACACAAACTCAAATAAGACATAAGAGACCCTCCCGAAGACGGAGTTTTCTTCAGAGTATTTTACAGATTGGGCTGAAACCTTGCTTTGTTACTTCTTCGCTTTTTGTTATTACCATTTATTATTTTGTAACAAAATAAACATACTACACTTGCTGAGAATGGCGAAAATTTAATAAGCGCCCAGCCTCGAATAAGCACCCACCTCGAATAAGCGCCCACTATCAAGGCCCAAAAATTTAATAAGCGCCCAGGGCGGTTAATTGAATAAATCTGGTAATTAAACTTTTGTTCCCAAGATACACTGTAAGTGATGGCAATATTGCAGAAGAAGCAGGTTCATAAAGTTTTAAGTAATATGTCAATAATGTTGTTATGGTAGTGATGTAGTGGGACACTCACTATAAAATTAATACAATGATTTACCTGGAGTCAATTGTCTTGTTACAAAAGGGTTTCTCGCATTCATTTTTTCGTTTTGTTTTTGCTCAAAGAAGGTCTTAGTTTTAACAGGTACAGTGTAATCAGGATTATGATGACCGCTTGGGGTTAGATTTGAGACATGAAAGTTACGAGCCAGCAATTTGTTTAAACTAGTTAATTTTGATATCAGTTAACTCAGGAAATAAGTAAGTTTAGTCACCTAGTGTGACGGAGCCAGTAATAATACATGTAATATCTAATAGCAACCTTTTTTGCTATAAAAGGCTAGAATATTTAGACAGAAAAGGACAATAGTATTTTTCATGACAAGCATCTACAGCTTTAGTTTCAATATTAATGGTCTCAATTATGTATAATTTCTGTTTGTTGCAGAAAAAGCTGAAGAGACAACCCTTTTCAGTCAACCTCTATTTCAAGAAGGATTGTTGTAAGTTCAAAGCTTGTATAATTGTGGAGTACATGTCTTCAGAGCAAGGCAATACAGACCAAGGAGATGACAAATCCGAGAAAAGTGCTTTGCAGGAGGCCTCTTGCATGGAGGAGTCAACAACTTAGCCTGTAAAAACCTCTTTGCCAAGCTGAACAGTAAAGCCAAATTAAAACAGTCACATGTAAGCTTGTCATTACTCAATGACGATAGTAAGGACGAATGGCTTCTCCTCAGAGCAGGAGGCACCAGATAATGCTCCTGAATTTGCTTTGTGATAAGGAAATATAAGTTAATCCAAGGCTCTTAAAGAAATTCCAGATTATTTATGACTGGTCATACTTACAGGTACATGTACATGTAGCTCTGCAAATACAGTAATCCTTTAATCACTCTCTGTTTATGACACTGTTTTTTAGAAAAAGATAAATCTGTGTAAACAGTACAAATCCTGATGGTGTTGATTTGTCCTGAGAATTCTGGTGGCAGGTAGATCAAATTGGTTGATGTGATAAATTTTTCATTAGAATCCTTTGGCTATTGTTTGCAAGTAATGTACCAGTCAGCAGGTTAAAAAAAACCAATTTATTAATGTACACATGTTTCTTTTTAAATCTGTTTGCTTAACTGCAGGCATTTGAGTTCTGCTGGCACCACTTCACGGTACATTTGTACCGATTACAGCAATTGCAACTGACCTGCTTGAACAAAAAAAAAAAAAAATTTAGGTACACCCTGCTTTTTGTCATGATTTATTACAGAATTTTGCAAAGGATTGCAACATGACTCAAGAAAAAGAGTAATGAGAGACAGCAGTGTAGTTATTTTGCAGGCTAGCCAGATCAACCTTTTGTACTACATGTACGTGTATACTGAGTTTAAAATAATTATTAGCTTCTTTCATTGGGACCAACTACAGTGACAATGGTAATGTTGACATGCTGTGGAATACTTATAGCTGGTCATTACTTTCATGACCCTCAATTTTCTTAGAACGGGGCAAATACTAGAAGCTCCGGCTGGTACTTCCTCTAAGAGCATATCCAATACTATACAGGAACCATTAGCAACGAAAATGAAGTTAAAGAAGTCTGATCTGAATTTGAATAGCTATATGTACCTAAACTATTTCTTAGTTTGCTAAATGCTATAACACAGTTGTTATACCGGCAAAAATTGTAAATTGGTAGCAAGAATTAGGCCTTTCATGCTAATAGAGCCTCAAGGAAAAAATGCCACCAGAATCAAATTTTGTTTAATCTGTAAATAGCAATAAATACAAAAATACTAATTATTTATTAAAATGGGTGTCTTGAGGGTTCCATTTAGTTGAAACAGGATTTGGTCCTTAGATACAAAAGTTTAAGTAAGAAATAGTCTTGTCACAAGTAAATATTGGTCCAAGGGTGAAAGGATTTTTAATCTGTTTCTGAGTTGCAAAAACCTAAAGAACTGAAATAGGTTTGAGGCAACTCTGAAACACCTACAGCTGTATGTAGAATATCTTACACATTTAGATGAAGAACACTTTTCTTATAATATTAATAGTTAGTAATGATCTGATAGAGCATAGAGTGGAGACAAGTAAACATCAACGAACAGTAAAATTGGGAATTAATATGAAGAGCTGTATGTACAGCTTTATACTGTAGTTTGTAATGTCTGTAATAATGTGTAAGCCACTTTGGTTTATGGAATAAATCATTTGAACATTAATGGGAGGTCACTGCTAGAATTTCTTTCAGTAACTTTAATGTTTGATTAATTATGGCCACTTGTTAAGAAACTGAAGTGAGCCATATTATAATTTAAAATATTTTTAAAATTTTATCGCATTTGCTACAACCCAAGGAAACTCGTTTAAACCTTGGAATTTACATTTGCTACTGGAGAAAACATGCTCAATTTTATGGGTTTGATGACATTTGTCAACCAAATTAAAGATAGAATTTGATTACATTTGCTACCTGAGCGAAAAATTGCACAATACTAACAGTTTGATCAGATTTGCTGCCCAAGCAACTTTGTTCAAAACTTGACTTTTGACCACATTTGCCGCTACAAGCAAAATTTTGTGTTTGATCAAATTTGCACACCCTAGAAAATTTGCTCAAAGTTTAGGTTTGCTAACATTTGCTTCGTGAGCAAACATGTTTAATACAAAGAGTTTGGTTACATTTGCCATGCAAAGCAATCTGGTTCAATTATGAAAATTTGACCACCCATGATAACCCAAGCAAACATTGTTCAAATTAGATACTTCGCTCACATCTGCAAAGCTGCGTAAACGTTCTGAAAATAACAGGTTTACATGCTTTTACATCTAAAGCAAAAGCTGTGCAAAACAGCAGATTTGCGCTATCATTTGCGTAATGTGCAAATATAGTTCAAAGAAACATATTTGCCTACACATTTGAACCATCTGCAAATGACCCTCAAATTCATGGCTGCCCATTATCTTTGCACCAAGATTTAAATGTTGTGCAAATGTGGCATTTACCGTCATTGCTACGGATAGCAAATCTAGTGCAATATCAGTCTTTGCTCTTGCGCAAAATTGTGCAAATGTGGTATTTGCTACACATTTACTGTAATTTGGCTACCCTAGTAAATCCATTTTTTCGTCTAGTGTATAGGTGACCTTGAACAAGCAAAGGAGTATCAGCAACGTGGTTTAGCCATCGAACTCAAAAAGCTTGGTGCTGAACATGTTTCTGTTGCAACAAGCTACGGTAACCTAGCTTTAATTCACAAGGACTTAGGTGACCTTGAACAAGCAAAGGAGTATCAGCAACGTGGTTTAGCCATCCAACTCAAGAAGCTTGGTGCTGAACATGTTTCTGTTGCAACAAGCTACGTTAACCTGGCTTCAATTCACAAGGACTTAGGTGACCTTGAACAAGCAAAGGAGTATCAGCAACGTGGTTTAGCCATCGAACTCAAAAAGCTTGGTGCTGAACATGTTTCTGTTGCAACAAGCTACGGTAACCTAGCTTTAATTCACAAGGACTTAGGTGACCTTGAACAAGCAAAGGAGTATCAGCAACGTGGTTTAGCCATCCAACTCAAGAAGCTTGGTGCTGAACATGTTTCTGTTGCAACAAGCTACGGTAACCTAGCTTTAATTCACCAGGACTTAGGTGACCTTGAACAAGCAAAGGAGTATCAGCAACGTGGTTTAGCCATCGAACTCAAGAAGCTTGGTGCTGAACATGTTTCTGTTGCAACAAGCTACGTTAACCTGGCTTCAATTCACCAGGACTTAGGTGACCTTGAACAAGCAAAGGAGTATCAGCAACGTGGTTTAGCCATCCAACTCAAGAAGCTTGGTGCTGAACATGTTTCTGTTGCAAAAAGCTACGGTAACCTAGCTTTAATTCACCAGGACTTAGGTGACCTTGAACAAGCAAAGGAGTATCAGCAACGTGGTTTAGCCATCCAACTCAAGAAGCTTGGTGCTGAACATGTTTCTGTTGCAACAAGCTACGTTAACCTGGCTTCAATTCACCAGGGCTTAGGTGACCTTGAACAAGCAAAGGAGTATCAGCAACGTGGTTTAGCCATCCAACTCAAGAAGCTTGGTGCTGAACATGTTTCTGTTGCAACAAGCTACGGTAACCTAGCTTTAATTTACCAGGACTTAGGTGACCTTGAACAAGCAAAGGAGTATCAGCAACGTGGTTTAGCCATCCAACTCAAGAAGCTTGGTGCTGAACATGTTTCTGTTGCAACAAGCTACGTTAACCTGGCTTCAATTCACCAGGGCTTAGGTGACCTTGAACAAGCAAAGGAGTATCAGCAACGTGGTTTAGCCATCCAACTCAAGAAGCTTGGTGCTGAACATGTTTCTGTTGCAACAAGCTACGGTAACCTAGCTTTAATTTACCAGGACTTAGGTGACCTTGAACAAGCAAAGGAGTATCAGCAACGTGGTTTAGCCATCCAACTCAAGAAGCTTGGTGCTGAACATGTTTCTGTTGCAACAAGCTACGTTAACCTGGCTTCAATTCACAAGGTCTTAGGTGACCTTGAACAAGCAAAGGAGTATCAGCAACGTGGTTTAGCCATCCAACTCAAGAAGCTTGGTGCTGAACATGTTTCTGTTGCAACAAGCTACGTTAACCTGGCTTCAATTCACAAGGACTTAGGTGACCTTGAACAAGCAAAGGAGTATCAGCAACGTGGTTTAGCCATCCAACTCAAGAAGCTTGGTGCTGAACATGTTTCTGTTGCAACAAGCTACGGTAACCTAGCTTTAATTCACAAGGACTTAATTGACCTTGAACAAGCAAAGGAGTATCAGCAAAGTGGTTTAGCCATCCAACTCAAGAAGCTTGGTGCTGAACATGTTTCTGTTGCAACAAGCTACGGTAACCTAGCTTTAATTCACAAGGACTTAGGTGACCTTGAACAAGCAAAGGAGTATCAGCAACGTGGTTTAGCCATCCAACTCAAGAAGCTTGGTGCTGAACATGTTTCTGTTGCAACAAGCTACGTTAACCTGGCTTCAATTCACCAGGACTTAGGTGACCTTGAACAAGCAAAGGAGTATCAGCAACGTGGTTTAGCCATCGAACTCAAGAAGCTTGGTGCTGAACATGTTTCTGTTGCAACAAGTTACGGTAACCTAGCTTTAATTCACAAGGACTTAGGTGACCTTGAACAAGCAAAGGAGTATCAGCAACGTGGTTTAGCCATCGAACTCAAGAAGCTTGGTGCTGAACATGTTTCTGTTGCAACAAGCTACGGTAACCTAGCTTTAATTCACAAGGACTTAGGTGACCTTGAACAAGCAAAGGAGTATCAGCAACGTGGTTTAGCCATCAAACTCAAGAAGCTTGGTGCTGAACATGTTTCTGTTGCAACAAGCTACTGTAACCTAGCTTTAATTCACCAGGACTTAGGTGACCTTGAACAAGCAAAGGAGTATCAGCAATGTGGTTTAGCCATCCAACTCAAGAAGCTTGGTGCTGAACATGTTTCTGTTGCAACAAGCTACAGTAACCTAGCTTCTATTCACCAGGACTTAGGTGACCTTGAACAAGCAAAGGAGTTTCAGTAACGTGCTTTAGCCATCAAACGCAAGAAGCTTGGTGCTGAATATGTTTCTGTTACAACAAGATGCTGTACAATCATTTAACTTTAATTCTCCAGGACTTAGGTGACTTTGAACAAACATAAGAGTATCAGCAACGTGCTTTAGTCTTCAAACTTAAGAAGCTTGGTGCTGAACATGTTTCTGTTGCAATAAGCTACGGTAACTTAGCTTTAGTTTTCAAGAACTTTTGTTTCCTTGAACAAGCAAAAGAGTTGTCAGCCAACGTCCTTTAGCCATTGAAGTCAAGAAGCTTGGTGCTGAAAATGTTCTGTTGCAACTAGCTACGGTAACTTGCTTTAATTCACTAGGACTTTAGTGGCCTGGAAGAGACAAAGGAGTATCAGCAACGTGTTTTAGCCATAAAACTTAGGAAGCTTTTCTAAATGTTGGTGGTCGAACCCTAGAGGGAAAAATGGTTAGCTAGGTATAGGGAGTGGGAACTTGGGCCCGTTTCTCGAAAGTCCCGGTAACTCTCCCGAAATCAGATATTTAAATCGAAATATAACGAATAAGAGCGCGGGTCCTGGCTAGCAAACTACTACATTTTGTTTCTACTGATAGTTTTATCATGATAGATACAAAACTATTGAAACCTCGATCTTAATGTAAACGGAGACAGCTTACCAAACAGGAAGACAGGCAACAACTCTTTAAATTTGTGTGATCACATATACGACATTTCTTCCATAAAACGTGTAACTAGTAAGTTTCATGTTGTAGTTGTGCAACAACAAAAGGAAAGAAATGCACCAAACAGTGTGCTGCACAATTGGCCCATTTAATTTATTTTTGTCGTTTTCGTTCTCGTTGCCGTTTAGCATTACACGATTTTTTTTTTTTGGATGGATAACTTATAAGTATATTAACGAGAGTTTCGCTTTTTGGTAAATCACAGCGCTAAAAATTCACGTTCCGTTAGTTATACAAAAAGTGTTAATAATTCTTTCCTTAGAGGAATTATTACTAAATGGATAGATACTAGATATATCATTTATGCAAAAGCATCTTGTTTCAATACAAAGTCAAAGGGATTGAAAATCCACTTCTAATAGCCCCTATGCATGATTACGTCAGACGAGTAAATTTCACGAACAAGCCTCGTTTGTGAACAAAATTTTTTGCATTTGCACTTTTTGTGCGTGGGTATTCTTTTCAACTCTACTGCCTTGGGAATTCATTTCTTTGAAACTTCGCTTATTTTTAATTTCAAAACGAGGCTTGGTGGTGAAATTTGCTTGTGTGACGTAAACATGCATAAGGGCTATTCTATCGTTTATTTTTCAAACTATTTTTAGTGTATTTTTATTTGAATTGTATACATCATGACTTAAAGGTTTCTTTGAATAAGATTGTAATGGGATAAAAGATCCTTGTGCCGTGTTTGGAAGTAACTAAATGATCGCCTTTTTCATGTGAAATATACAGTGAAAGACCATAATTCTAATACTAAACTAGAAAAAGGCGATCATTATTACATCCAAACACGGCACAAGGATCTTTTTTCCCATTACAATCTTATTCTAAGAAAATTTTAAGAAAAGATGTCCCGAAAAGCGCTCGAAAATACAAACGAAATGTGCTCATGCCCCCTGGGCATCCTATAATACTCCTTAAATCGAATTAATTCAATATGGCCGCTGTATCGGTAAAAAGGTCTATTACTTGTTACCGGTAAAGAGTCATGGCAGTAGGTAAATCATATATCTTAAGGCAAAGTGCACGCTTCCTTAACTCTTTCATTCCAGAATGAACGATGGAATCCTATGAGGTTGTTCCAACTTGAGTCTCTGCACCAAATCCGTTGGTGTAACCATTCAAATGAAACCTCTTCAGTAGTACTTTCACATGGTACTGTTTATTTAGTATGTGGTTCTAACTTTTGAGTCTGTGGATGAAATCCTATGGTGTGACCATTCAAATGAAACCTCTTCAACAGTACTTTCACATGGTACTGTATATTTAGTATGTAGTTCTAACTTTTGAGTCTTTGGATGAAATCCTATGGTGTTACCATTCAATTGAAACCTCTTCAGCAGTACTTTCACATGGTACAATTTATTTAGTATGTAGTTCTAACTTTTGAGTCTGTGCACCAAATCCGTTGGTGTGACCATTCAAAAGAAACCTCTTTGGCAGTGCTCTCACGTTGTCCTATTTGTTTCTCCGAATTTCATAAAATGAAATTTGGAATTTCTGTCCATTTTAGACTTTGGCCTTTTCTGTGAGTGAAAGAGTTAACGCAACCACTAAGGCGGTGGCTTAGGATGACAGGAAACGGTTAACCTGTTAGAAAGAAACATTAATTCAAAATTAAATAACACGTTTGTAAATAAACAGTACGATCTCACGCAATGCTTTGGAATGCTACTTTCTTGCACGAGAATAAGACTATAAAAATCCCTTTTACATGATATGGAGAAAAATGTTAATAAACGATATGCTTGTCTACTAAACGGTCGCGGGTCACCGAGGTATGGACCACTATTAAATCATGATCAGCCCAAGCGCCCATTTCTTCCAGGAAAGCTCCCGGATGAGATGGTTGGCCCCAAGCCCCAGACTACTGAGACTGCGTCCTAAGGGAACAAACCAGTGCCGGATCCAGACCTTGAGATAAGGGGGGGCCCGGTCATCCAGACCCTGAGATAAGGGGGGGGCGGTCTTCCTTCAGGCCCCAGTTTGGTCTAAAAATAAGGGGGGGCGGGCCCCTCCCCTGGATTGGCCACTTGTCAGCTACTTGTCACCTTTCGAATATGAACACCTCTTCAAATGCTTCTCCTGTGAGGTAGACATCTCTCTATGAAGGACTGAAAATAAGCCAAACGCCTTTTTATGTTTGACACCCCTGTTACGCCGCAAAATGTAATAATCGCCGCAAAATGTAATATTAACGCAAAATGTAATAAGAATCGCCGCAAAATGTAATACTAACGCAAAATGTAATAACATTGACGCAAAATGTAATAAAATTTTCAACGCAGAATGTAATAATCTTTCAACGCAAATTGTAATAACTTTTCTAACGCATAATGTAATAACGCAAAATGTAATAATTTCCGAATAACGACGTGCATGCTATTTCAAAATCGGTATTGTTGCTCAGTCATCGGTAGTAGCGAATTCAGATCTTCAATTAAATTATAAGCTATTATTATTATTGATATTAATATTAATATTAACATTATTAATAATATTAATATTACTATTACTATTAATTATTATTATTATTGCTAATATTACAATGAAACAGTTGAAATGAGGAGATGTAATCATCTTTAGGGAACCGAATGGGACGTTTGTTTCCGCTGATTTGAACGTAATACAGGTCCCAATACAATGCGCACCTAGCCGTCCTAAGCCAACATTTCGCGCTAAGTGAGAAATAAGTGTTAATGTTGGCTTAGGGGAGGGTTATGTAGACAGTTTCCCATAATTATCCAAAAATTCTAACCCAAACCAAATTACCCATACACCCTCCCCCCTCAAGTGGTCAAAAATGGTCGGCCCTAAAAAGACGAAATTGCGCACTTTTTATCCCGATTTCGATTGCGTTGCTGAGCAAATTCAAGGTTTCGTTTAGCATCGAATGCGTTTCCTGATGTTGAGTCGGTCGGTCAGATTGGAAAAAAAACCTAAAAAACAAAATCACAAGAAGTCTCGGAATCAACCTCGTCCCCAGGGAGCCCTGGGGACGAGGTTGTCTCGGAATAGGAGGCCCTGGTACCCAGGACAACGTTAAAAGTTAACATTCACATAATTGGATTAACAAAATACACAATATACTGTAAAAAATGTTTATGTCTTTGTTCCTGTTTTTCTCTATGCTGTTACTATGCTCATTTTTCAGATTAAAAGAATTATTTTTATTGATTTGACTTTGCAAAGCTTGGAAACTTCAACATAAAAGAAACTTGGACCTAAAAAACAGCATTAAGAACAATTCAGCCTCTATTAAATGAGAACTTAGGAAAAGTAAGTTACAGCCAAAGTTGTCTGGTTCTCATGAAAAAAAGTGTGACAGAAATCTTATATTTTAAACGCATTTGAATTATGCTTTGAAAGTTGATTCTATTACTTGTTTTCAACAACAGCTATTTTATTTGACTGAATTAAATTCAACCTCTGAAATTAAACCAAGTCTCTCAGTTGCTACAGTTGTGGTACAGTACAGCAAGCTCTTGCAGCCATTTTTGTCTCGTCACGCAATGCTCCTCCTCCTTTGTTTGGGAAGATTGTTGCGTGACGAGACACAACACGGCTGCGATCGAGAGATACTAGCTCAGCACGGAAGTAACACGACGCTTCAACCGTTATTTCATTAATAGTAATAATAATAATAATAAGAAGAAAATAAATATGATTACTATTATTAATATCAATATTGATAATAATAATAA